AATGAAACATTGTTCTAGAACCAGGAGAGATCCGAGACACTTAAATTTGAACCTGATTTTGTGATTCAGCGTGGCAGCCAGTCAAAAAATTGAATTTTGATGAAGTATGAGTCCTATTTAATTTCCTATTCCCCTCTTTATCAGCTAATCTATTCTTTCAACAAGATCACATAATGCAGTAGCGCTACTTTGACAAGTAAATAGTTCCTTGCAGCCAACCAATAATTTAGCACCCTTTCTAAGACCAGATATTGTCTACATTTTATTACCCACCGGTACAACACTAATGTTGTTCAAAAAGAACAGAAGCATCACCATAAAAGTCATTATTTTTATGATTATTAACCCCGATTCCAATTCAAAATAACCTTCATTTCATTACCCCCATGGTGGAACGTCATGCCAATCAACCTCCATAATGCCAGTACTAAAATCCAGACAAGCGAATATGCAGATTTTGAACCTCAACACTTAACCCCAACGCTTGCATATCACCAACATAGAATAAACAATGCGTTCCTAACTTACATCCGGCTTAATTCATCAAATTAAAAAAGTACCATTCTTGTTTTATTCAATTTAGTCCTCTGGATGAGTTTTGATTTATACACATCCGATATACTTTTAAATGTCTGCCATGCAAATTGAAAGTCCGAATGGCTAATTGACACACATTTTTAACCAAATTTTGCTCTTCGATTTAGACTGATAGCTATTTATTGATTCCTGATTTTAGCCACGGTATTCCCATGTGTATTACTGATGGAATTGCCAAATAGTTTTCCACCAAATCAGACTGCTGAATGACTGGGCAGGTTGAATTCTATTAAAAGGGCATGAAAACTTTTGTAAGTGGAATAAAGTCGCACGACTTTCACGAATTTAAATTAATATTGACCTTTTCTGCTTATGTTTTTGGAAATAGAAAAAAACATCTTTCTTCCACTGTGAGATTGGGCATGAAGGTGGGCTGTTAGGAGTAAAACCTAAAACCAATCAGAAATTGTCAATCCACTGGAGCCTGTTGTGAGAATGTTCCTGGGGTACAACATACAGTGGTAGCGAGAGTTTGTCACCTAGAGTATCACCAAATCTTAATGAGTTTATTCCTTGAAGTGCCTTTACCAAAGTACCTTTGCTTTCTCAAGTAGTATGCTCTTTGAGAAGATGAAGTGAAGTCGATATATAATCTTCTAAGAAGAGTAGAAATAGTAAATAGTTCACTTTAACCTTAAGATGGATTGTTAATTTCATTTCGTGACACGAGGTAGTGAACTAAACCTCTTTTATTTAGAAGAAACAGGTGAGGTCTGAATTTCAATGGCAAGTGCTCTCTCGCTCTTGCTCTCTTGATAAAACAAATACAACACTCTGAATCAAGGGTAACTATTAAACATTGCGGTGAACTATACATAATGACACCAAAGCAAAAAATACTGTATGGATCAATCGAAGGATTAAGATTATAAATGCCTGTCGTTATACTCTTCTCCAAAATCAATGTAAAGAATATTGAAAAAAGCAAACTAAGATAGGAAAAAATACCCCTGGGCTCTACACCAATATGATCTCTATATGGTACATCTTAATCGCTTTCCCAGGCATATACTGGATTAATATAGTCCCACAACCAATAATTAAAGACACTTTTAATATCGAAAATTTTCTATTTAACTGCAAAATTCGTCGATCGAGCCCAAATTAATTACTTCCCATTTTATGGCTGCAATTATGAGTAATAACTGGAACGCGGATGGCCGCACATAATTACTTGATTCGGGTTAAGAGCACCTATTCACTAGTCATAATCATAGAATTGGGGCAAACAGGGGTTAGGCTTAAGATGACGTAGATGGTAAATGAAGAAAACTGCAAATTATGACTGTTTTCAAATCTGGAGCTAACAGGGCATGTGAGACAATGTAAATTCACGAGCGAAGGAATAAAGAAACCGATCACTTACATACAACCTCAAGAGTTTCACTTTGCCTTAGAATAGCGATTCGTCCGGGTTTCTCAATACTGCATTCTATCCTATGACCATTAAGTCGACGATGTGCGAGGATGGTGAGATTGGACTGAGTGACAATTCCACTACCACCAGCACTGCTTGATTTGCGCTGAGCGTTGGTAGTAAACATCCCCTCATCAAGGCTTTCCACAGCACCGAGAGGACTTAGATGACGCCAAGTGATGTTGGCTGGTGGATTAGCGCCTCCCTCGTCTGTTTGACAGACGAGCAACTTGCTCATGTCCTCCCGCATTCCACCTTCGGGAAGTGATCTCAGGGAGAGCGACCGGGGGTCAACTAGAATTGAAAATAAAATTAAATTGAACAACAATAATTCGTTCTGCTTAAGACAGCTCACTAACAGAGCTTAAAACCACAGGGTTCAATCATAATTTAAAGTATCACTACAACAAACCGGACCTTCTCCATCTGCAATATCGGGGTGTGCGATAGACTTAACTCCACGTGGTGCACCCTGGGTAACGTATACTCATACGGCAAAAAAGTCTATTAATCGGCAGTTGACTTCTCACTTCAAACTAAAGTCTATTACCTGGCAGTTGACTTCAAACTACCATGAGTAAGTCTATTAACTGGCAGTTGACTTCTGAGTTCAAACTATCATGACCCCAAGTCTATTAATCGGCAGTTGACTTCTGACTTCAATTACCATGATCTATTAACTGGCAGTTGACTTCTCTATGTCATATTCGAAGTCTATAAACCGGCAGTTGACTTCAAACTATCGGCAAAAAAATTCTATTAACCGGCAGTTGACTTCTGACTTCAACGCAAAAAGGTCTATTAACTGGCAGTTGACTTCTCACTTCACAAAAAAGTCTATTAACCGGCAGTTGACTTCTGACTACTCAAACGGCAAAAAAGTCTATAAACCGGCAGTTGACTTCTGACTGAAAAGGTCTATTAACTGGCAGTTGACTTCTGACTTCAAATAAAAGTCTATCAATCGGCAGTTGACTTCTCACTTCAAACTAAAGTCTATTACCTGGCAGTTGACTTCAAACTACCATGAGTAAGTCTATTAACTGGCAGTTGACTTCTGAGTTCAAACTATCATGACCCCAAGTCTATTAATCGGCAGTTGACTTCTGACTTCAATTACCATCAAGTCTATCAACCGGCAGTTGACTTCTGACTTCAAACTACGTCTATCAACCGGCAGTTGACTTCTCACTTCAAACTACCAATCACCCCACTGTATGTCATATTCGACTACTTCCAGAGTACTCTCATTGTATGTCAGAGTATTCACCTTACCATACTCTCTATCATTTTGCCTGTCTCTTTTATATCTGCAAATCATTTTTCGGTCCACCCTCTTGAACTTTGATGTTTCTCCCCTCTATGAAATTTGAAGTCAGCTAAGAGCTAATGATAATTATCAAAATGCCTGCCATTCGAAATAAATACATCTACAATATCATGTCACTAGCAAACAATTCCAAAATATACGCAAACAGCTGGGCTCCTTACAAGATCAAATTAACAATGAAATAATCAAAAGCAATTTTTTTAAATAAAATGAAATTAGCAAAAACAATAATAACTTAAAATAGTTTCCAGTTTCTATTTTAGGCACTGACACCAGCAAAACAGCTTTTGACAGATAGGCACCACAAGCATATAATGGCTAAGTTACCGACCGCAATTACATCACTAGTTGGAAGTCTTGATAGAGAGATTGCTTAAACTTACATAAAAGGATTCTATGTAATGCAGATTTTACAGATATCTCATTCAATGATGAGGTCAGTCTTGGCTACTTTCTGTGCATAAATTTCGGACACGGTACTCTAAACTTCCAGAAAATAAAATGAAATGCACTATATTTCATCTCATTTGACCTGAAGCATACTAACGCATTTAGGGCACCTTTTAGGAAATAGGGAAATCGTGCAAGTAATGACCTTGAGGTATTTTGTTATCCACCCCACACTCGGTCACTTCGCCTTTGTGTTAATCATGTATCCTATCCTTCATCAGACCCCGCCCTCCCCACCACCACCCCTAACAATCCACCCGTATTTTATTCAACGTGACTCATGCAGTGCAGACGCTGGTGAAAGTTTTTTATTCGAATAAGAACTGTCTAGATTCGGCAAGGACATGTCTTTCTATTACGAGAGTCTCTCGGGCTATGACTGCATTGTTTCTAATATTAATCCTCACGTCGGGGAAGTGCTAAAACGAAACCGAGGGAGTAAATATCAAAGCCACATCAGAATCACAGTGAGGATTAGGATTTGTAGACAGTGCCCGACAATTCCGACGACTTTATTGACACCTGTTCGCTTAGATTAAATTTGCATAGGAGTCGGGAAGTGAAGGCGGGTATCATCCCTTTCGGTCCTGTAGAAAAAGGTGTAGTTGAGGCGACCCAATTTCAACTCCATTCATAGTAATTTACCAGTTTAAAGTGCGAGCTTCACTCACATTCAATTTCGTTCCAATATTAAAAAGCACAGGTGCGACAGTGAAGTAGTAATAAAAATCCTGTGATGACTGATTAACATTTCTCTTGGAATTTAAGAGGTAGTATGCTGCACACATGGTGAAAGCGCTTCTCTACAATCTGAATATAACTAAATCGAGCAGTTGTACATTGACTCGAAAAATTACTATCTAAAACGAAGCTTTAGTTAAAAAAAGCATATCAGCTAATATGAGACTTGATACATAGATGAAACGGAAAAATTTAGGAAAAATTTTCAATGCCAACCAATACAGTTGTAATAGATTTTTCTGATTGCAATAGCCAACTCATGAAATAGTGCCAAACAACAGGAGTCACAAGAAGTCAATCATTTAGTTTATTGGAATCCTGCTCAAGTAGTTGTTCGGATTATCTAAATACGTCTAATGTGGGTACGCGATAGACTTACCTCCACGTGGTGCGCCCTGGGGCAACGTATACTCATACAGCAAAAGTCTATGAACCCGCAGTTGACTCCAAACTACCATGACTCGACTGTATATCGCTTTCGATCACTACCACAGTACTCACCTTTCCTTTTTCACCATCTTTGTGTCTGTATCTTTTACATCTATGAAACTCTCTTCTGTCCCCCCCCCCCACCCCAATCTCGACCTTTCGTGACTTTGATGTTCCTTCCCTCTGTGATGCCCGAAGTTAACTAAACGACTAATGACAGATCTCGAAGTCTGGCATTTCATACAGATAAATGCTTGTGTAATAAGTTCAATGTCAATTAAATGTCCATTTATGAAGGTCTTAGTACTAAACGATTGATACGTTATCGTATAATAACAATGTTTTAATTGAAAAAAAAACCAATTCGACTCAACGAATGAAGCCGTTATACATTCTGAATGAAAAGTATTTTTTCTTATCATGGTCAAATAAGGAGTCAGTTATTACAATGCTAATTTAATTATCATAATCAGACACCTGATAGATGGAAGGTGCGATGGAGGCGTTCTGATGGGAAACGCTAATTCCACCACCGCTCCTGATAAAACCAATTCCTTATTTCATTAACAAATGTCAGCTGATGAGCAACGATCTTATGAATCTCCGATTTGGTTGCCTTGTAGGTTGACTATTGGATCGTCTTGAGATTTCAATGAAATTTACTCCTATTTTTTCTTTTAAACCGATTTTGTCGTGACAAATTTCCCGTAGATACATTTTTTCATTCTGTAAATGACTACTTATACTGAGATAATTAATGTTCTTCGAGAGTTGTACTTCTGCTGAACACTCCGGAAGGTGATAAGGGAGGAGATAATCAAACTGCGAAAAATATGGGTGCACTTTAATT